TGTTGGACCAGGCAAGCTACTGGACCAGGCAAGCTCTTGGACCAGGAAATCTCCTGGACTAAGCAAGCTCCTGTACCAGGCAAGCTAACGGACCAAGAAAGCTCCTAGACAAGGCAAGCTCCTGGACCAGGAATGCTCGTGGAAGAGGCAAGCTCCTGGACCAGGCAAGCTCCTGGACCAGGCAAGCTCCTGGACCAGGCAAGCTTCTGGACCAGGCAAACTCCTGGACCTGGCACGCTCCTGGACGAGGCAAGCTCGTGGACCAGGCAAGCTCCTAGACCAGGCAAGCTCCTGGACCAGGCACGCTCCTGGACCACGCAAGCTCTTGGACCAGGCAAGCTCTTGGTCCAGGCAAGCTCCTGGACCAGGCAAGCTCCTGGACCAGGCAAGCTCCTCGACCACGCAAGCTCCTGGATCATGCAAGCTCTTGGAACAGGCACACTCCTAGACCAGGCAAGCTCTTGGACCAGGCAGGCTTCTGGACCAAGCAAGCTATTGGACCACGCAAGCTCCTGGACCAGGCAAACTCCTGGACCAGGCACGCTCGTGGACCGTGCACGCTCCTGGACGAGGCAAGCTCTTGGACCAGGCAGTCTCGTGGACCAGGCAAGCTCCTGGACCAGGCAAGCTCCCGGACCAGGCAAGCTCCTTGACCAGGCAAGCTCCTGGACCAGGCAAGCTCCTGGACCAGGCACGCTCGTGGACCATGCACGCTCTTGGACTAGGCAAGCTCTTGGACCAGGCACGCTCCTAGAACAGGCAAGCTCTTGGACCAGGCAATCTCCTGGACCAGGCAAGCTCCTGGACCAGGATAGCTCATAGACCAGGCAAGCTCTTGGACCAGGCACGCTCCTGGACCATGCAAGCTCTTAGACTAGGCAAGCTCCTGGACCAGGCAAGCTTCTGGACCAGGCAAACTCGTGGACCAGGCACGAACCTGGACCAGACAAGCTCCTGGACCAGGCAAGCTCCTAGACCAGACAAGCTCCTGAACCATGCAAGCTCCTGGACCAGGCAAGCTCCTTGACGGGGCAAGCTCCTTGACTAGGCAAGCTCCTGGACCAGGCAAGTTCATGGACCAGGCACGCTCGTGGACCATGCACGCTCTTGGACCAGGCAAGCTCTTGGACCAGGCACGCTCCTCGAACAGGCAAGCTCCTGGACCAGGCAAGCTCCTGGACCAGGATAGCTCCTGGACCAAGCAAGCACCTGGACCAGGCACGCTACTGGACCATGCAAGCTCCTAGACCAGGCAAGCTTCTGGACCAGGCAAACTCGTAGACTAGGCACGCTCCAGGACCAGGCAAGCTCCTGGACCAGGCAAGCTCCTAGACCAGGCAAGCTCCTTGACCAGGCAAGCTCCTGGACCACGTAAGCTCTTGGACCAGGCAAGCTCTTGGACCATGCAAAGCTCCTGGACCAGGCAAGCTCTTGGACCAGGCAAGCTCCTGGACCACGCAAGCTCCTGGACCACGCAAGCTCTTGGACCAGGCACGCTCGTGGACCTGGCAAGCTCTTGGACCTCTGGACCAAGCAAGCTATTGGACCACGCAAGCTCCTGGACCAGGCAAGCTGTTGGACCAGGCAAGCTACTGGACCAGGCAAGCTCTTGGACCAGGAAATCTCCTGGACTAAGCAAGCTCCTGTACCAGGCAAGCTAACGGACCAAGAAAGCTCCTAGACAAGGCAAGCTCCTGGACCAGGAATGCTCGTGGAAGAGGCAAGCTCCTGGACCAGGCAAGCTCCTGGACCAGGCAAGCTCCTGGACCAGGCAAGCTTCTGGACCAGGCAAACTCCTGGACCTGGCACGCTCCTGGACGAGGCAAGCTCGTGGACCAGGCAAGCTCCTAGACCAGGCAAGCTCCTGGACCAGGCACGCTCCTGGACCACGCAAGCTCTTGGACCAGGCAAGCTCTTGGTCCAGGCAAGCTCCTGGACCAGGCAAGCTCCTGGACCAGGCAAGCTCCTCGACCACGCAAGCTCCTGGATCATGCAAGCTCTTGGAACAGGCACACTCCTAGACCAGGCAAGCTCTTGGACCAGGCAGGCTTCTGGACCAAGCAAGCTATTGGACCACGCAAGCTCCTGGACCAGGCAAACTCCTGGACCAGGCACGCTCGTGGACCGTGCACGCTCCTGGACGAGGCAAGCTCTTGGACCAGGCAGTCTCGTGGACCAGGCAAGCTCCTGGACCAGGCAAGCTCCCGGACCAGGCAAGCTCCTTGACCAGGCAAGCTCCTGGACCAGGCAAGCTCCTGGACCAGGCACGCTCGTGGACCATGCACGCTCTTGGACTAGGCAAGCTCTTGGACCAGGCACGCTCCTAGAACAGGCAAGCTCTTGGACCAGGCAATCTCCTGGACCAGGCAAGCTCCTGGACCAGGATAGCTCATAGACCAGGCAAGCTCTTGGACCAGGCACGCTCCTGGACCATGCAAGCTCTTAGACTAGGCAAGCTCCTGGACCAGGCAAGCTTCTGGACCAGGCAAACTCGTGGACCAGGCACGAACCTGGACCAGACAAGCTCCTGGACCAGGCAAGCTCCTAGACCAGAGAAGCTCCTGAACCATGAAAGCTCCTGGACCAGGCAAGCTCCTTGACGGGGCAAGCTCCTTGACTAGGCAAGCTCCTGGACCAGGCAAGTTCATGGACCAGGCACGCTCGTGGACCATGCACGCTCTTGGACTAGGCAAGCTCTTGGACCAGGCACGCTCCTCGAACAGGCAAGCTCCTGGACCAGGCAAGCTCCTGGACCAGGATAGCTCCTGGACCAAGCAAGCACCTGGACCAGGCACGCTCCTGGACCATGCAAGCTCCTAGACCAGGCAAGCTTCTGGACCAGGCAAACTCGTAGACTAGGCACGCTCCAGGACCAGGCAAGCTCCTAGACCAGGCAAGCTCCTAGACCAGGCAAGCTCGTGGACCACCCAAGCTCTTGGACCAGGCAAGATCCTAGACCAGGCAAGCTCCTGGACCAGGCAAGCTCCTAGACCAGGCAAGCTCTTGGACCAGGCAAGCTCCTGGACCACGCAAGCTCTTGGACCAGGCAAGCTCTTGGACCAGGCAAGCTCCTGGACCTCGCAAGCTCCTGGACCAGGCAAGCTCACGGACCAAGAAAGCTCCTGGACAAGGCAAGCTCCTGGACCAGGCACGCTCGTGGAAAAGGCAAGCTCCTGAACCAGGCACGCTCCTCGACCAGGCAAGCTCTTGGACCAGGCGAGCTCCTAGACCAGGCAAGCTCCTGGACCTCGCAAGCTCTTGGACAGGGCAAGCTCTTGGACGAGGCAAGCTCCTGGACATGGACGTAGACGTGGACGTGGACCTGGACGTGGACGTGGACATGGACATGGACGTGGACGTGGACGTGGAGGACTTGGACGTGGAGGATTTGGATGTGGATTGATGTGAACGTGGACGTGGACATGGACGTGGATGTGGACATGGACGTGGACGTGGACGTGGAGGACTTGGACGTGGACATGGACTTGGACATGGACGTGGACTTGGACGTGGACATGGACTTGGACATGGACGTGGACATGGACGTGGACATGGACTTGGACATGGACGTGGACATGGACGTGGACGTGGACGTGGACGTGGAGGTGGACGTGGACGTGGACATGGACGTGGACATGGACGTGGACGTGGACGTGGACGTGGACATGGACGTGGACATGGACGTGGACGTGGACGTGGACGTGGACGTGGACGTGGACATGGACGTGGACACGGACGTGGACGTGGACGTGAACGTAGACGTGGACATGGACGTGGACGTGGACGTGGACGTGGACGTGGACATGGACGTGGAGGACTTGGACGTGGACTTGGACGTGGACGTGGACGTGGACATGAACATGGACGTGGACGTGGACGTGGACATGGACATGGACGTGGACGTGGACATGGACGTGGACGTGGACAAGGACGTGGACATGGACGTGGACATGAACGTGCACATGGACATGGACGTGGACGTGGACATGGACATGGACGTAGACGTGGACATGGACGTGGACGTGGACGTGGACATGGACGTGGAGGACTTGGACGTGGACTTGGACGTGGACGTGGACGTGGACGTGGACATGGACATGGACGTGGACGTGGACGTGGACATAGACATGGACGTGGACGTGGACATGGACGTGGACGTGGACATGGACGTAGACATGGACGTGGACGTGGACGTGGACGTGGACGTGGACATGGACGTGGACGTTGACGTGGACATTGTCGTGGACGTGGACGTGGACGTGGACGTGGACATTGTCATGGTCGTGGACGTGGACGTGGACGTGAACGTGGTCGTGGACGTGGACGTGGACGTGGACGTGGACGTTGACGTGGACATGGACATGGACATGGACGTGGACGTGGACGTGGACGTGGACGTGGACGTTGACGTGGACATGGACGTGGACGTGGACGTGGACGTGAACGTGGTCGTGGACATGGACGTGGACATGGACGTGGACATGGACGTAGACGTGGACGTTGACGTGGTCGTTGACTTGGACGTGGAGGTGGACGTGGACGTGGACGTGGTCGTGGACATGGACGTGGACGTGGACGTGGTCGTGGACGTGGATATGGACGTGAACGTGGACGTGGACGTGGTCGTGGACGTGGACGGGGACGTGGTCGTGGACGTGGACGTGGACATGGACGTGGACGTGGTCGTGGACGTGGTCATGGACGTGGAGGACTTGGACGTGGAGGACTTGGACGTGGACGTGGACGTGGACGTGGACGTGGACGTGGTCATGGACGTGGTCGTGGACGTGGAGGACTTGGACGTGGAGGACTTGGACGTGGACGTGGACATGGACGTGGACGTGGACGTGGACGTGGTCGTGGACGTGGTCGTGGACGTGGACGTGGTCGTGGACGTGGTCGTGGACGTGGACGTGGTCGTGGACGTGGTCGTGGACGTGGACGTGGACGTGGTCGTGGACGTGGAGGACTTGGACGTGGAGGACTTGGACGTGGACTGACGTGGACGCGGACGTGGACAGGGACGTGGACGCGGACGTGGACGAGGACGTGGACGCGGACGTGGACGTGGACGTGGACGTGGACGTGAACGTGGACGGGGACGTGGACGTGGACGTGGACGTGAACATTGATACGTGGACGCGGACGTGGACGTGGTCGTGGACGTGGACGTGGACGTGGTCGTGGACGTGCACGTGGACGTGAACGTGGACGAGAACGTGGACGTGGACGTGAACGTGGACGTGGACGTGAACGTGGACGTGAACGTGAACGTGGAAGTGGACGTGAACGTGGACGTGAACGTGAACGTGGACGTGGACGTGCACGTGGACGTGAACGTGAACGTGGACGGGAACGTGGACGTGGACGTGGACGTGGACGTGGTCGTGGACATGGACGTGGACGTGGACGCGGACGTGGACGTGGACGTGGACGTGAACATTGATACGTGGACGTGGACGTGGACGTGGACGTGGACGTGGACGTGGACATGGTCGTGGACATGGACGTGGACGTAGACATGGTCGTGGACCTTGACGTGGACGTGGTCGTGGTCGTGGACGTGGTCGTGGACGTGGACATGGACGTGGACGTGGACGTTGACGTGGACGTGGACGTGGACATGGACGTGGACGTGGACGTGGACGTGGACGTGGACATGGACGTGGACTTGGACGTGGACGTGGACGTGGGCGTTGACGTGGGCGTGGACGTGGACGTGGACGTGGACGTGGGCGTTGATGTGGTCGTGGACGTGGTGGTGGACATGGACGTGGACGTAAACATTGATACGTGGACGTGGACGTGGACGTGGTCGTGGACGTGGACGTGGACGTGGATGTGGACGTGGACGTGGACGTGGACGTGGTCGTGGACGTGGACGTGGACGTGCACGTGGACGTGCACGTGGACGTGAACGTGAACGTGGACGTGGACGTGGACGTGAACGTGAACGTGAACGTGAACGTGGACGTGAACGTGGACGTGGACGTGAACGTGGACGTGGACGTGGACGTGCACGTGGACGTGAACGTGAACGTGGACGTGAACGTGGACGTGGACGTGGTCGTGGACGTGGACGTGAACATTGATACGTGGACGCGGACCTGGACGTGGACGTGGACGTGAACATTGATACGTGGACGCGGACGTGGACATGGTCGTGGACGTGGACGTGGACGTAGACATGGTCGTGGACGTGGTCGTGGACATGGTCGTGGTCGTGGACGTGGTCGTGGACGTGGACGTGGACGTGGACGTGGACGTGGACATGGACGTGGACGTGGACGTGGACGTGGACATGGACATGGATGTGGACATGGACGTGGATGTGGTCGTGGTCGTAGACGTGGACGTGGACGTGGACGTGGACGTGGAGGACGTGGATGTGGAGGACGTGGACGTGGACGTGGAGGACGTGGACGTGGACGTGGACGTGGACGTGGTCGTGGACGTGGAGGTTGACGTGGACGTGGACGTGGTCGTGGACGTGGAGGACTTGGACGTGGACATGGATGTGGACGTGGACGTGGACGTGGACGTGGACATGGTCGTGGACGTGGACGTGGACGTGGACGTGGACGTGGACGTGGACATGGACGTGGACGTGGACGTGGACGTGGACGTGGACGTGGACGTGAACGTGGACGTGGACATGGTCGTGGACGTGGACGTGAACGTGGCAAAGACGTGGACATGGACGTGGACGTGAACGTGGACGTGGACGTGGACATGGACGTGGACGTACATGTGCACGTGGAAGTGGACATGGTCGTGGACGTGGACGTGAACGTGGACGTGGACGTGGACATGGTCGTGGACGTGGACCTGGACAGGAGCGTGCCTGGTCCACGACCGTGCGTGGTCCAGGAGCTTGCCTGGTCTAGGAGCTTGCCTGATATGGAGCTTGCCTGGTCCAGGAACTTGCCTGGTCCAGGAACGTGCCTGGTCCAAGAGCTTGCCTGGTCCATGAACGTGCCTGGTCCAGGAGCTTGCCTGGTCTAGGAACTTGCCTGGTCCAGGAACGTGCCTGGTCAAGGAGCTTGCCTGGTCCAGGAACATGCCTGGTCCAGGAGCTTGCCTGGTCTAGGAGCTTGCATGATCTGGAGCTTGCCTGGTCCAAGAGCTTGCCTGGTCCACGAGCCTGCCTAGTCCAAGAGCTTGCCTGGTCCAGGAACGTGCCTCGTCCACGAGCGTGCCTGGTCCAAGAGCTTGCCTGGTCCAGGAGCTTGCCTGGTCCAAGAGCTTGCCAGGTCCAAGAGCTTGCCTGGTCCAGGAGCTTGCGTGGTCCATGAGCTTGCCTGGTTCAGGAGCTTGCTTGGTCCACAAGCTTGCCTGGTCCAAGAGCTTGCCTCGTCCAGGAGCATGCCTGGTCCAAGAGCTTGCGTGGTCCTGGAGCTTGCCTTGTTCGGGAGCATGCCTGGTCCACGAGCGTGCCTTGTCCAGGAGCTTCCTGGTCCAGGAGCTTGCCTTGTCCAGGAGCTTGCCTGGTCCCTGAGCGTGCCTGGTCCACGAGCCTGCCTGGTCCAAGAGCTTGCGTGGTCTAAGAGCGTGCCTAGTCCACGAGCGTGCCTGGTCCAGGAGCTTGCCTTAACCATGAGCTTGCCTGGTCCAGGAGCTTGCGTGGTCCAGGAGCTTGCTTGATCCAGGAGCATGCCTGGTTCAGGAGCTTGCCTGGTCCAGGAGCTTGCCGGGTCCTAGAGCGTGCCTGGTCCAGGAGCTTGCCTAGTCCAGGAGCTTGCTTGGTCCAGAAGCGTGCATGGTGCAAGAGCTTGCCTGGTCTAGGAGCGTGCCTGGTACAAGAGCATGCGTGGTCCCGGAGCTTGCCTTGTCCAGGAGCTTGCCTGGTCCAGGAGCGTGCTTGGTCTAGGAGCTTGCTTGGTTCACGAGCATGCCTCGTCCACGAGCGTGCCTGGTCTAGGAGCTTGCTTGGTTCAAGAGCTTGCCTGGTCTAGGAGCTTGCCTGGTCCAGGAGCGTGCCCGGTCCAGGAGTGTGCCTAGTCCAGGAGCTTGCTTTGTCCAGAAGCCTGCCTGATCCAAGAGCTTGCCTGGTCTAGGAGCGTGCCTAGTCCAAGAGCTTGCCTATTCTAGGAGCTTGCCTGGTCCAGGAGCTTGCCTGGTCCAGGAGCTTGCCTAGTCTAGGAGCGTGCCTGGTTCATGAGCTTGCCTGGTCCAGGAGCTTGCCTGGTCCAAGAGCTTGCGTGGTCCAAGAGCTTGCGTGGTCCTGGAGCTTGCCTGGTCCAGGTGCTTGCCTGGTCTAGGAGCTTGCCTAGTCCAGGAACTTGCGTGGTTCAGGAGCGTGCCTGGTCCACGAATTTGCCTGGTCCAGAAGCTTGCCTGGTCCAGGAGCTTGCTTGGTCCAAGAGCTTGCCTGGTCCAGGAGCTTGCTTGGTCCAGGAGCTTGTCTAGTCCAGGAGCGTGCCTGGTCCACGAGTTTGCCTGGTCTAGAAGCTTGCCTGGTCCAGGAGCTTGCCTAGTCCAAGAGCTTGCCTGGTCCAGGAGCTTGCCTGGTCCAGAAGCTTGCCTAGTCCACTAGCTTGCCTGGTCCAAGAGCTTGCCTGGTCCAAGAGCTTGCGTGGTCCAAGAGCTTGCCTGGTCCAGGAGCTTGCCTGGTCTAGGGGCTTGCCTATTCCAGGAGCTTGCCTGGTCCAGGAGCGTGCCTGGTCCACGAGTTTGCCTGGTCAAGAAGCTTGGGTGGTCCAGGAGCTTGCCTGGTCCAAGAGTTTGCCTGGTCGAGGAGCTTGCCTGGTCCAGGAGCTTGCTGCGGAGATAACTACTACAACGGGAGCTAGACTACTGGCTAGGCACGTGTGCTCGTGTGATCTCTGCGTTCGTTGGTCCTTAGACGTTTTCCTAGTGCTAACACTGCTTGCTAGTTCACGGGGCAATTTGGCAAGAGTTTCACTAAGAAAAGATCACAACAATGGTACAATGAAGTTGGCAATGCAAGACTACATCAGAGCTAGCATTCAGGTTGGTCAACTGCCAGCACAGCATGGTCGACCGCATTCCAACACGACTTGGTCGACCGCGCTCCAGCAGAGCAAAGTCGACAGCTTGCCAATGCTTCAGGTCGACGGTGTGCCAGCAGTGCACCCGCTTTGCAGGTGCGTGCAGATGATTGGTATGCCGAGCCTCATCACCTGCACAGCACACACACACCACGTCAGCCTCGGGCTGACGGCTACCTTTGATCTGCCACGACCACCTCGTGATACCACCACCAAGGTCGGTCTCGCCAGCTTCGCCTGGGCGACCGTCGCACTCCTCCGCAGCACTTCGTCACCCAGGTAACCTGGTCGACCGGGCAACCACATCGACCAGCAACTCCCGTACGTGTCCGTCGACCTCCCAAGTCGACGACCACCTCGTTGTCGACCTCACCGGGTCGACCATGCCCCTCGGTCGACGACCATGTCACTCGACGCCCGACTGCTCGACGCCCGACTGCTCGACGTCCTGACTGCTCGACGTCCTGCTACTCGACGTCGACCCCTCCTTCGTCGACCACCGGTCCAGTCAACCACCCGCAGGTCGACCAGCACATCATCCGACCACCAAAGTCGGCTTCCCAAGTTGACGTCCTCCGCAGGTCGACGCTTAAGTCGACCTCCCCGAAGTTGGCGCCACCCCGAAGTCGGCGCCCGTGCAGTGGTCCCCGTGCAGGTCGACCTCCTCGTCGACCAGCTCGCCCACTGCTGCAGGTCAGCTGCTCCCCTAACACCCGACCACGATGTCGGCTCCGCCCAAGCGTGGACGGGGCCAACATACAACTCCCGTTGACACTCCCCTGCCGCGTTCACGCTTGGTCCCCCTCAAGTCCACTCGGCAGTACTCCTCGGAGAATAGCTCGTCGACGTGCACCCAACACACCGCACGTCGTCCACCGCACCAGCCATGCAAGAGGGCATGGCACCTACTGCTGCACGTCGTTGTCGCCGTCGCCCACGTCGGCCAAGCGCACCTGGCCGATTGCGACGGAGCACCGGTTGAAGGCCGG